GAAATTCAAAATATTCAAATAATAGACCATAGGAAACAGTTTTTGTACTGTAAGGAAACACAGGCACAAATGACAGGCATTTCTGGACCTTCTGTATCAAGTTCTCTGTGTTAGATGGTATGCGAACTAGGAAACATCCCTGAGTTGTCCGTCCTAGCCAAAGAACCTGAAGAAGATCTGAATAGACACATGAGATCTAAAAAAAATTGTGTTCTACTGAAACCTCAGGATAAAGTATGCTAGTGAGACTCTTGGGGATTAAGAAAGAATGAATCTTTTATAATTTTGGTTGTGATGCTAGCCTTTAACGACTGTTGTTTAGCTTTGCCTGTCTCAGGGGCCCCTGACTGCAGGACCAGCATCTATCTCTGGTGCATGAACTAGTTTGCTGGAGGCCATCCCTATGGTAGGATGTCATTCTCAGCCTTAATACAGGGGGGAGGGGATTGGTCCTGCTTCAACTTAATTGGCCATGCTTTGTTGACTCCCATGGGAGTGGGATCCCTTACTCTGTGGGAGGAGTGGATGGGCATGGTCTAAGGGGGAGGGAGAGTAGGTGGAAGGAAGAACTGTGGTTGGATTGCAAAACTGAAATTAAAAAAATAAACTAAAAACACATGAAGGACACAAGGTGGGGAAAAAGAAAAGAAAAGAAAACAGTGAATCTCACGGGAGATTTTGCTGAGAAGAAAACAGAGGGATCATTTCAATCCATCTGGGAATGGCGACAAATGACACAAGAAGGAAAGGAACTTCTGGGGAGCTACTGCAGAGGAGTCTGCAAAGGCAGCAAATACATCAGGTTTTGCACAAAAACATCCAAGGAGCTCTTAGAAATGGATGGAGATAGTATTTGGGGGCAAGTGTTTCTATTTTTGCTGAGGTTAGAGGAACTCAGATGTGAGGATTAGTGCCTGGGAAAGGTGAAGGCCATCCTGATTAAACTGCCACCTGGATTATGGAGTGACAGGTGTCTGAGAACCTGCATGTAGAAGAGATGACCCCAAGCCTACAGAGTCCGGGCTGATACTCCACATGCTAGAACATCATCTCCACCCATCACACGGCTGTGTTTCTGGCTGGCTATGTCTTGCAGTTTGTTTCATTTCTCTTGGGTTTTGCTTTACTGATCTAAAGATGTAGTTAGGAATTTTACTACTTCACAGGGGTTTTATGACAATGAAGCTATAAAAAACACAACAGGACCTGCACCATGCAAAGCTCTACCTTGGGTATTTGTTTATTGTGCATAAGCTAGCTTGTTGGAGCCCATTCCCAAGGTTGGGGTGCCATGCTCAGCCTTAATGAGGGGTTAGGGTAGGGCTTGGTCCTTGGTCTCACCAGTTGCAGCTGGGTGTTTCAATTGCACTTACTCTCAAATAGGGCTTGTTCCATGTTCAGATAATCTTGGGAATGGGAAAGTTGGAATATACCCCTGCCCTGATTTACTCAGGAGAAATGTAACCAACCACAGTATTAGTAAAGATGACTTATGCAAGTCACTTTGTAATCACAATAAACAGTACATGAAAAGGGCTTATCCTGTAGACTCATGAGACGAAAAATTAGTGAGTGCTGAAAACCAAGGCTTCATGGGTGATATGTTAGTTGTCTAGAATCTTATGTTTAAGTAGGATTGAAAGTAAGGTCACATGTCCCCTCTAAAAATTTATGATTTATATATGAGTTAAATAGACAAACCTAGGATGAATGTTGCATCATGAAAATTACCTATCCTGGAAAATTTTTCATTGGAGGTCATAGAAAGGGATGAATAAGTTTTGGCAGAGACACTCAGACTAGAAGGGTTGAAAGGAAGATATAGGCAATGGTAAGATGAAGTATTGTTAAACACAGGGATGATGTTTTCTGTTTTACATAACTAGAGGCTGCTTAATCCTGTGTGATGATATATTATTTATGATTTAATAATATTAAAGCCCCTGGAGAGCAAAATGCAAAACTAGTCATAGCCATAGAACCAGGTACTGGTGATGCACACCTTTAATTCCAGCAGCTACACTAGTTAGCCATAGAAACCAGGCTGTGGTGGTACACACCTTTAATCCCAGGACTTGGGAGACAGAGGCAAGCTGATCTATGCTAGTTCCAGGTCACACTAAGCTACCTGAAACTGATCCAGTCTAAATGAGAAACGGCGATCCTAGCACTTGGATCACACAACTTTAATTCCGGCACTAGAGAGGTGGAGACAGGAGTGATACGGCTGGGTTGAGAGAGAAGTATAAGGCATGAGGAGATAGGAACTCAGGGGACTATAGTCTGAAGCCCAGTGGAGAATAGTGCAGTCTGCATTGTACGCTGAGGATTCGTGGAGACAGGATCAGCCCTTCCAGTCTGAGTTAGAGGTAAGAGCTAGCGACTGGCTGCTTTTGCTTTTCTGATCTCAGCTTGCACTACAGTGTCTGCCTCTGGGTTTTTATTATTCATGCGACAATCCTGCAATGGAGAGTGAGTTTAAAACCTGCTTCTCTACAAAGTGGTAGAAGAAAATTCAATTAGAAGAAAAGGACTTCTGCAACTGTGCAATTGCCCTGGCAGAGGTACTGATGTGGGATGTCCTGCAGACTGAGAATTTGCATTGCTTTTTATTGGTTGATAAATAAAGCTGTTTCAGCCAATGTCTGGGAAAAACACGGCTAGGCTAGAAACACAAAGATGCAGAGAGAAGGCAGGCAGAGTCAGGGAGTCACCATGTAGCTCCCGCGGAATCAAGATACCAGGTAACCGCAAGTCAAGAGCCTCACGGAAAGACATGGATTATTAGAAATGGCTTAACTTATAGATGGAGCTAGCAAGTGAGAAGCCTGAGCCATTGGCCAAACAACTATATTTAATATTAGCTTTGGTGTGGTTATTTCATAAGCGGCTACTGGGACCCTTTACCAAGAGATGTGCAAAATATAACTGTCTAATGAAGTCTGTCTGTAGTTTTCCTCCGGCCAGGGTATGATAGCTTTCTCTTCTTTAGTATCTATGTACCGATGTGATAGGAAGAACTGTTCGGCAAAGGCTATACCGTAATTACCCAAATATAGCCATGTGTCAGCTCAAACACAGGCTCTGAAGCCCAGCCACACACTGCCTTCCTTTACATTTTCTGCCTCCCTGCAGGCTGTTCCCGGAGTTTCTACCGTGCCCCTCTGCCATGTCAATAGTTCTGTCTGTCACACCACAGTGCACAGAAAGAAAGGGACTCCACTGATATCCTCTCTTGAAGGAGTAACCTGATGGGAGGTGCTATGTAGGTGCCATATAAGCCCACCTGTTCTACCTATAATTAATAGGACCAGGGGTAGGCGGTTGTTTGGAAGAATGACCTCCTTTGATAGAATCCTTGGAGCTGCCTTCAGCTCCTGGACCTGCAGGGTTTGTGCTGTGAGTTCTGTTCTTTCCAAGGTGAGGCTGGGAGTTTTCCTGGGTGGCTATTGCCATGAGCTGAGATTATGTGAGAACTCCTGAACCCTGAAACCCAGTGTCTATGCTGCTTACGCCATAAAGCTAGTAGTCAATATTTGTGATTTTACTTCTTTTTCCTCTCTCTCCCTGTGAATGCATGCGCATGTATTTAATTAAGAGGTTATTTAGTTTAGTTGTTGCTGCTTTGAGATGGGGTCTTTTACTGTAGCCCAGGCTTACTGGAATTAACTGTCATCTCCAGGCTAACTTTGTTCATGGCGGTCCTCCTGTCTCAGCCTCCTAAGCTGAAGACATTTTTTAAAGAGTGAAAAAGCAAGCAAGTAACCCTCCCACCAGCTTTTCCTAATGAATCTCTAATGATATATTAAAAAATAATAAACAGGTACCAGAAAAGTTCACCTCATCTTAGCAAGGGCTCTGCCAAGCGTTACTTAGCAATATCATCTAGTTTTCAGGGCTGACTCCTGGAAAGATTCCAGAACAGAAAGATGACACTCCATCTTCTTTCTTCTGTGGGTGGCAGGGAAGACCCTCAGTCCTATGCATCTCGGTTTTCTCTTTTGAATCTTTATTGTCACAATCAGCAATGTAAGGATCCTCCTAGCCTATCATTCTTTAATTCTGTCATTGGCCTTAAGTTCTACCACTAGTCAAGCTGCCTGTCTACTGAAGTTCATGAGAAAGAAGTTCCCAATGTGAGTGAGCTTTCCCAGTTGAAGCCTCACTGAACCCCTGCAATGAGATGTTCTTCATTGTGCATGATTTATGGGAATGGAGGAGGACACTCAAACCCAGGAGGGGTTTTCATTTAGCTGATATTTCCAAAGCATAAGTTCTAGTGAAAATAATGCAATATGTGTTGAAAATATTAGTGATTGAGAGAGTCAAATATGAGTCACTCTGGAAAGTCACAGGCAGGAAAGAGTTCTGTCTGCTTTCTTTGACGTTCACTGAATACTTGAAATAGCCTGAGAATTAAACTCTCCATTCAAAAAGAAAATCTCTGTGCACTGTTACAGTATAAAAAAAATCACCATCCTTTGCCCAGAGCCTCGGAATCTATCTGATATTCTCTGCATTCTAGTGAGACTCTTACCTTGAAGTACACCAGTGTTTCCCAGATTTGGTTAATGAAACACAGATTAAAGTTAGGTGCCAGTCACAGGCCTTTGACTAAATATCCCAATATTTGTATTGTCTTGCAGATAAAAGTGGCGGGCTTGTTTCTCTTCATAAATCTCTTTCTCCAAATTGTTTTTCTGGACAGAGTTCAAGTAGAACAACCAATTTATTCATTCCAGCCCTCACTCTTTGCAGTGACCTCTTACTGAGCAATTTACTAGAAAAAGAAGGTGGTAAGCAAACAGTGGCATCTGAGGAGACACTAGCTAAGGCCTTCTGCTTGTAGGCACACACATACTTCTCTGTTTCTGTTCTTTGAAAATGGGAGCACAGATGGTTCTAGATATGTCAGTGTCATACCAATGACTAGTTAACCTGAGATCACCTCAAATGTAGACCATATGTCAACACACATGCACATGTGTAGTTCATCTTACTTGGTAAAATGACTTGTGGCTTCCAGCTCTGTGTCTTGTGGGCGGAGATTGTTATAGACGTATTTTAGGTCTTCGGTTCCACTTAGCTCAGGCAGTCCAGCATGCAACATCTTTGTATCAACAAAACCCAGAACAGAAATGGAAAGAACAAATGCAGACAGAGTCAAGCTTCCCTGGTTCACTCTGGGGATAGACACACGGACATTTACATTTGTTTTAATGTGCATTTCATTTCATCTCTATGAATGGATATAATTTCATGTTTTTAAACCTTGGGTAGTTAATGGTGGGGATAAACAGCAACGGGGACATAAAGAACCATTGCAGCTGGTGACGCGTTTGCACAGTAGCGATTCCATTGTGGTCCTATCATGAAGCTGTGAAGAAAGCATGGCTGCACAACTATTCCCTCATGAGAATTTTTGGACCCACCATTTAAAATCTGTGTGATTTTGAGAAGGCTCCTTGACTCTCTTAAGCCTTCATTTCCTCACATCTTAAGGAGCACAAAATTATCTGACACATTCTTGAATAATCAAAATCTTCTTCATCATATGATGGTTCACAAAATGCAAATTAGATTTGTTTCAAGAGGACAAGGCTGCATTGCAGAAGATGTGGGTAATACGTCCAGGTTAAAGGTACAAGGACACAGTATGAAAGTCAACTCTCGGACTCTACAGCTCTCTCTGTACAATTTCCTCTGCATAAGTGGCAAGTATGCTCATTAAATATTGGTAAAGCAAGGAAATAATTAGGGTTAGATCTGTGTGTTTTTCTCATCTTTAAGAAGATATTGTGTTTACGGTTCACTGTAGAGTTGAGGGATATTATTCATTTTACTTGTAGACAAATTTTTGAGGAAAAGCTTTTTGCTATTATTATTTTTTTCTAAGAAGTAGAAGAAGAAAAGGAGGAAGATATTAGAGGAGATGGAGGAGGAAAAGATATCATCAACACTTCTGTGACTGATATGATAAATATTCTGTCCTAGAATAGAGAAACTCATGCATTGAGAATTTAGTCCTATCAATAAGGATGGAATGTGTGTGTATTGTAATGGAGGATGGATGAAGCCAGAGATATTCCTATGGGAAACAGGGATTCTTGCCATTGTCCTTAGTAGGACTGAAAGACATATGCACATAAGAGACCATGATGTTCTTGGTGTGCTCAGAGAGAATCCCAGCAACACTTCTGGAACACAGACTATCATGTGTCCAAATGTCAAGTAACAGCCACAGAAAGAGACTGAGTAAGAAATTTCAGCAATACTAAAGCATGAAAACATGCATTTCCAAGTCAAGAGCATGCCAGTAGCACGTACAAGAACCAACTGAGAGAAAGATCTCCATGGTTGAAGTTAAAGATGAATGACAAGAGGCCAAAGACAAGGCTGGACTGGGAACTGGTTTGTCATGGAGACATTATTGGGTTTAAATATACATAAGTGGCACTGAAGAGATGACTCCGCAATTAAGAGCTTGTGTTGTTCTCGCAGATGACCTGAGGTCAGTTGCTAACAGGAACACGACATCCTGTTACCCAGGCTCAGGGAATCCAGAGCCTCTGGCCTCTGAGAGTTCTCTAGCCCCCATACTTCAGAAATTTCATAAACTGAATATTTATGGGAAATATATGCACATACACACACACATATATATGAACACACACATACACACACACATATATATATGTTCACACGTGCAATATATAGAGAAATTAGAAATGATTGGATACATGGAGGGATGAAACAGTTCAAAGTCACAATGGCAGATGATGCCTGAGTAGTCATTAGCACACAGATGACAACTGAAACACAGGGAACCCTGCAAGTCAAAGGTGCGTGCTGGTAAGCCTGACCACATGAGTTCAGAAATGAACAAATTCTCTTCATCTATGGTTTTTCTCCTCTTTCCCACCTCTTATTCTCCATATATATATATATATTAAGGGATCTATGGGGAAAACAGATTCATGGATACAGGACAAGGTATAACCAGTTGCAAAGTCCTTCCTTTCTGCCCAAGGGAGCTGCCACCTTACCCAGTCTTTACAACACAAGAGAGTGCATGACCTCTGTCTCTCCATTTAAGAGATCACCCTAAGGCCAGTACACCAAAGATATTGGTGGAATGCATTCTACATATGTGTGTGTGTGTATGTATTATATGTATAATTATCTTTTTCTCCAGCTAAGAATGCCCTCACTTTTCCTCTCTTATCTACTAGAAACCTTTATCTTGCTTTGATCTCTTTTAAAGTACTGTGTTCCAGTTCTGATCACATTTTGTTTATGTCAGGCTAGAAGTTCTTTGAGAAGAGAACGTGAACCTTTACTCAGCATTGAGATTGTTTATGTTGTCTAGTACGATGCTTTGTAAGTAATTGGAATCTAATGAATATTTGATCGATAATGACTGCACGGATGGATGAGTAAATGATTAGAAAAACACTGAGTCTTATTAGGCTTTAAAACTCCACTACTCACAAATTTAATATTGACTACTAAATACAAAACCCTGGCCTAGAGAAACACATTTCCCTTGGCAAAGTAGAATCTAGATTAGTTTTTAATCTCATCTCTAGTACTAGGAGTTCCAGAGACATCTGTGGACTTACTGAATGGGAGTCTCTTTAACTATTCCATGATCATCCACGTGCTAAGACCAGATTCTGTGGAATTTGACTTTCATTCTCCTTTCATTTCTGTCTATAATCTGCCTGTGTCTCTCCACCTCTGTGTAGTCTATCATCTGTCTATGTAAGATGACATGTTCAGTCTGTGACAAACCAGATGAATCCAACTCGGTCTCCATCACGTGACTACCTAATGGCTAAAAAGACACAAGCCCACCTTTCATGTGTCCCATTCCTTGGAGTGGAGTCTTAGAGTGTGGTAACACTGGGAAATATGGATCTCTCCGTAGCTAATCCTACTTAACAGTGCCTGTTCTCAGATCTATTACATTGTGTTTCATAGGTTTTGTCTGGAGGGCACGGGTGATATGGAGGGAGAGGACAGCTGTAACAGGCAGGTATGAACAGGCACAAGCACGGGATGGATGAGCCTTTTGTTTTTAAGGACAGGACTTTTGTTTCTATTCTTCTACTAAGTCCAGCTCTATTCTGACAACATCACTTACGGAAGCTGTGCTCCTTCCTTAATGTAGAGGGAATCTAGAAAGATTTCAGCCAAGCAATATCTTCTATAATAATGGGAGTGATAAACATTTGAAACTGGGTGAATTGGTCCCTGTGTTCTTTGAGAGTCTTCCATAATAGCTGATATTGATTTTTTTAATGGGAGAAAAGCTGACGAAACCCAGGCTTTTATGATAGTGAACTCAGCCAGCAACACACTTGGGTCTCCTACAGATGTTCCTTTTAAGCAAGATGGGAATTACATAGATTACTTTTTGCTTGCCTCTCCCATGAGGAAACAAAAGCACTGCAGATATCTGGCAACAAGACACTTTCTGCCGAGGATGGGTCATTAACTCCTCATTGAACCCACTGAACGCCTGTGCCTCGTGATCCTGGGTATCGATCATTCGAAGAAGCCAGCCTGGATGACCTGTGCCAAGTATTTCTCAACTTGTAACTGGGTCATGGTGTAGTGCACTGAACTGTATTTAAAGATGCCAACATGAGAGTCAGAATGGAGAAAAAGGTCATATTAAATGTGTATGTAGAAAGCAAGTTTTCATGGATTTAAACTTGGGTTTAATTTTAAAAGAAGCTTTAGCTGGAGAGTGTGTGGTCCTGAAATAGCCACTGAAGACTTTATCTGAAGAGTCCTACAGGGTTCACACTGGAGTAAAGCAGGGGAACTGGGAAAAGAGGACCTGAAACTGAGGCAACCACACATCACAGTTGTGTAAGGATTTATCTGTGGTATTTAGTGTTCTGCGCCGCCTCCAATTTTTCATTCTGTTTCTATGAGTTAAAATCTAAGATTATTGTTTAGTATATGTGAGTGACCGCCACTGCCATTCTTCACCCTTATCCTAAAAGTCAGGCTAGATTCAACTAAATCTCAGGCAGGTGTGTCTTACTATTTATGTGAGAAATCATTTCAAAACAGGATTAAAGTATTATATATTGAATTTTAAAATGTAGTGTGTGTGTGTGTGTGTATGAGAGAGAGAGACAGAGAAAGAGAGAGAGAGTGGGAGGGAGGGAGGAAGGGAGAGGGAGAGGGAGGCTTGTAGGTGGGTATTCATGGAGTCCAGAAAAGGGCATCAGATTACTCAGAGCTGGATTTACAGGTCATTATGACTTTCTGGATGTGGGTGCTGGGAACTGGACTTGGGTCCTTTTTGAGCACTCTTATTTCCCTTAAATTAAATAAATTACAATATTTTTGCTATTATGGTAGGAGACAAGATAGCCTTGAAACTGTAATTTTCCTGCTTCAGCCTCCTGACTGCTAGAATTACAGGCATAAGTCATCATGCCTGGCCTAATCTTTAAATCCTTTAATGATTAGTTGCTATGATAAATATATATATATTGGTTTCTAGAGACAGGGTTTCTCTGTATTGTTTTGGAAGCTGTCCTGGAACTTGCTCTGTAGAGCAGGCTGGCCTCAAACTCACAGAGATTTGCCTGCCTCTGCCTCCCAAGTGCTGGGATTAAAGGTGTGCAACACCAATGCCCGGATGGTAAATGTTTTTAAAGGAATGCAGAAAGCTTACTGAACAAATGAAAAGATCTCGGCAAGATGTTCCTACTCACTGAGATGATTTGCTATCATATTTATTAGCTCATCGCATTTAATCGTCATCCAGCATAATTTAACATCACTGGAGAAACAGCTCCATGAGACTCCACTATGGGTTTTGTTCTGGACATCTGTATCATGGAATCAGCTTTTCATAAACTGTAAGGTATCCCATAAAAGCAGTAGAGTCTCACGGAACTGGGAGCTAGAACACAGATGGGCAAGTAAGGATTGCTGGATATAGTTGGAAGTTAACTTGGAGATCCTGAGGTGTGGGGATGTGATTTAGTGGGAGAGCTCTAGGTTCAATTCCTAGTACAGGAAAAACAAACAAACAAACAAACAAAAGCACACATTAAAAAATATGAATGGTGGAGAAGTAGCTAGTGAGGCTGAAAAACTGAATCTTCAACTTTAATCACTACTAATACAGATTTAAATTATACACATGTGCGCATGATCCTGTATTGGTCAGTACCCCTTTAATTGATTTATTTATTGCCTTAATTTTGACTGAGGATTTCATGTAGTCCAGGCTATCCTCAAACTTTCTTTGTGAACAAAGATGACCTTGAATTTTTGGTCCTCCTCCCCTTTCCTTGCAGGCTCTGGGTTCTGGGATTACAAGTGTGTACCCTTACATCCAATTGTCTGTAGTGACAGGTAGGCACTTTACCTACTGAAATGCTTCCTTAGCCTGACAGTGTTTAAATTAACTTAACAATGATCTTATATTATCATGTTAATTAACTAAACTCAACTCTATTAGTCCATCATTAGTCGTTTGTGTTCATTATCAGCTAGAGTTATTAAAATTAATCTGTAAGTACCTTAGCAAAATGCCTGGTCCATATGATGCATTCATTACTAGATCATTTATCCATCATTTCCATAAGATAAAAGCTGTTACCCTAATTTAGTAAGGAAACAGTATTTAGTGTTAAATATAAGCATACTCAAAGAATGTAACCATTAATGTACCAGCCTGGCATTCTATTTTACTATAAGTGTGTCCCCATCTAGATGCTGTTGAAGACTGTAGGACAATAGAGACCCAACCATCAAGTTTGTCACCTTAATAACTATGAGCAGCATGGAAAATTCCCAGTCAGTTGTGTTTGATTGACTTCAAATCACACAGTGATGGACAAGTGGTACGCCACTCCTTCAGGCAGATTACCATGGGTGTATGCACTCAAGGAAACCACCACTTCATTCTCCAAGAGACGTTTCTATTGTGTTCTTCTTCCCTTACGCTATGTGATGATTCCTCATGTCTTTGCAGTGGACACTGGAATTAATCATGAAGTCCTCCCTGACCCAGAGAAGACAGGACTACAGCTCAGTAGGCCCAGTATAGGCCACTAAATGCATGAGTCTACAGTCTGATCACTAATTAATCAGTCACACTTTTAGAATTATTTTGCTTTGAATTAAATGTACATGCATGTGTGTCTGTATATGGTTATGTGACTATTTGCATGCAGGTGCCTGTAGACTGCAGGAGAGGGCATCAGATCCCTGGAGCTGGGGTTGTAGGCAGTTATGAGTCACCTGATGAGTGTACTTGGAATTGAACTCAGGTCCTATGTAAGAGAAATTTGTGCTTTTAAACCACTGAGATATCGCTCTAAGCCCAGAGTTTGTATTCTTGATCCTACATTTCACAATCTGAATAATGGTCAAGTGTTCAAAGGCAGATAGATATTGAGACAAGGGAGCCAGGATGAATTTGCCTCACCTACATCATTAGGGTGACAATGTATGTAAATCAAATAATTTTGAGGCAGTTTTCAAAAAAGAGACAATGCAACCAAAGACATTATTATTTTTTTTTAAATGACTTTCCTGGAACTTTCGTCAACTCTATACAGGATTCCCCCAAATGCAACATTAGAACACGTCTCTTGCTCACTCTTTTCTGTTTTAAAAGCTCATTGGGGGAACTCCTACCCATTAGGAGAAATAGATCACTGGAGTAGACAGGAATGGAGCTCAGGACTTGTTATTTCCCCAAGGGACTTACCATTTCTAGGAGGCTCAGAATCAGCTGGCTGCGTTTCCTGACAATATTATAAGCTCTGCAGCAAAGCTCCACAAAGTCTTGAAAATGCTGAGTATTTTTTCCACCCTCGGTAATAAAGTACTCCATCTCTGAAGTAAAAATGAAAGGGGCTCTGTCCCTGTAAACAAAAAACAATAGCAGTCATGAGGAGAAGACCTGGTGTTTACGGCCATTACCACAATGTTATTTCTACTGGATTCTTTTCCTAGTCCACTGTGGGTCATTGTGGAAAAACTTAGTAATTGAGGGCTTTGAATAACTGGGCTGCAATGGAGAAGACAGCGTGAGGAGTGCTACTCTGTCCATTTATACTGTCTTAAATGTTTAATTCCCAGTTACGTTTGGACAGACTGTATCTACTGAAAGAGGATTGACTCTAATCAGCAATGCAAGTTAGAGCTGTGCAAAGTTGTCACTGAAAGTGTATTTACTAATGCAGTTTGAGACAATAAAGTAGAACTTAAGTTCAACATTACAGTGCCTTAAAAGCCATTTTCCTTCCCTTGGATAGCAGACTCCTTAGAATGAGAGTTTGGATAAAAATTAAGATATTATAATAACAAATTCTTCCAGAAGATAATTTGCGAAACAACAACAGATGTAACCAATTCCCTGTCATATGCTTAGTAAACAGGGAGGTTTTTTTTGTTTTCTTTTAAAGATAGTCATAATTCATTCCACACATGGCTCAGTAAAAGCACTGAGCACAGGAGGACATGGGGGCCATGTTTTTCACACGAGTCACACTGCCCCCCTGTGGTCCCATGTTATCTGGGCCATGATAATCCTGAGACCATGTTTTTCACACAAGTCATACTACCCCCTGTGGTCCCATGTTATCTGGGCCATGATAATCCTGAGACCATGTTTTCACACAAGTCACACTGCCCCCTGTGGTCCCATGTTATCTGGGCCATGATAATCCTGAGACCATGTTTTCACACAAGTCACACTGCCCCCTGTGGTCCCATGTTATCTGGGCCATGATAATCCTGAGACCATGTTTTCACACAAGTCACACTGCCCCCTGTGGTCCCATGTTATTTGGGACATGATAATCCTGAGATGAAGTGTTAGCATCTCTAAGAGAAGTCGATAGGGGGAGGGACAGAGGTATCTCTATCAGATGAGGCCTCAGCTGTTAGATCGATAAGGGGGATTTTACACAAACTCGTCTTATAGGTCTCCCACAGCATCTAGATGGGGACACAGTTGCAGGTAAAATAGAATTGAGCATGTTTCAAATGTGACAGTTCAGTTCAGGGAAGGTGGCACCAAGTTGCAGCTGAAGAAACTGAGAGGCAGTTCAGGGTCACTTTAGAACAGAATAGTGTCCTATGCCGACACAGGCTTTGCTGTTTTAATAACAATTTAGTCCACCTGGAAATCCCGCCAATGTGACTTAACTAGACCTTTCCAAAGTGTGAGAATGCAAATGGAAAAGCTACTCAAAACATTTTCTAGACTAGCGTTTGCTTATGGCTGTGCTCAAGTGTGACTTTAACGCTGAGCACTGTGGTTCACACCTACGAATCTCAGTGCTCCAGAGGTTAAGACAGACTCTGAGTTTGAGGCCAGCCTAGACTACACATTTAGTTCCATGTTAGCCTAGCCTGATCTCAGAGGTGAGATCCTGTCTCAAATGCAATAATAAAGTTTGTATTTTATAAAACATGATGACTTTCACTTGGCTTGCTTTGTCTTTCTTTACCCAATAACTAATTTATAGTGATATTTTGTTTTTTTACCTAACAAATAAAGCTTGCCTGGAGATCAGAGTGCAAAGATAGTAACGCTGGTTAGCCATAGAGGCCAGGCAGTGGTGGCACACACCTTTTACCCTAGCTGCCACACTAGTTAGACACAGAGGCCAGGCAATGGTGGCACACACCTTTAATCCCAGACCTTGGGAGACAGAGGCAGACAGACCTCTCTGAGTTCAAGCCTCCCTGGGCTACACAAGAGTCAATCAGTCTAAAAAGGAGAAACAGTTCAAACAAAGGTTACTTCAGCATGGGGGATCCCTTGCCTTCAATCCTAGCACTAGAAAGGACTGTAAGGCAGGAGGAGATAGGAGCTTATTGCAGTCTGAGGAGAAATGCAATTGGGAGCGGTCTGAGGTTCAGATCACCTCTCCAGTCTGAGCACTGGTAAATGAGAGAACTCTCTCGTGACGGCCACATTGCTTCTCTGATCTTCAGCTTTTACCCTGATATCTGTCACTGGGTTTTTATTATTCATGCTACACTTACTCAATGAAAGGTATTGAGCACCTGCACTGAGCAACCTCTCACGTGCCAGCTCAACTTCTCAAACTGTGATCATTAAATTTTGGTGTTGGGCCTTTCCACTCATTCTAGGAGGCACTTTTTGAATCCATATTTCAGCAAAGCTGGGGAAGAGATGTTGGGAACACAAGATAAAAACATAGGCTCTGATCCTGAACTTGCTGTGACTTCACTTTCTGGAGTTTGAATTGGGTACCAAACACTCAGTTGTTAGACCTCCTGAGAGGCCCAACGTGGGAAACATTTATGAACCTGGATCATGGAGATGAACCTGGACCACGGAGAGTGATGTGCATTCTGGGGTTGCTGTGGCTAGAGGAGGCTCTGTGCACAGAGCCCAGGCTACAGGTCCTGTGATCCAGATCTCAAATTTGAGTTTTGGGCATCACTAGTTCTCTCCCTTGTGAGCCACTTACCATCACGGCTCCTGGATCACATTCTTTACCAAATGGTATTATTGATAACACTTAGAGGATCACATAGCTTAGATGACAGAAAAGCACTTACTGCCACATAGAAAGCTCTTGGTACACTTTAAATCACTGTTGTATATTATTGTTAAGTCTTCAAATAGTCACGAGTGTTTGCAGAGCTGAACCTTGTCACAGCTAAGCCTCCCTCTACCTTCTCACCTCCCACTTTGTATTTGAGGATTTAATTTGGTCCTGGGTTTATCACTATAAACTGCTTGACTATAAGGGTCCTTACATGAACCTTTCCCTTTGTTATACATTTGGTAGATTTTGTACCCTTGTCGTTCTCACTCTTGCTAATTGTGGTGGCTTGAAGAACAAATGTCCCTCCCCCACAGGCTCACCATTTAAATATGAGCTCCCCAGTTGGCGGCACTGTTTGGGGATTTAAATATGAGCTCCCCAGTTGGCGGCACTGTTTGGGATGTTATAAAACCTTTAGGAAGCAGAGCCCTGCTCTAGGAAACACATGCAGGCAGGCATGATGCCAGAGGAATGGTCGAGTGTTCTACCTCTTGTAGGCAGCAGGAAATTGACTGACACACTGGGTATATAAACCTCAAAGCCCCACCCCTACAGTGACACACTTCCTCCCACAAGGTCACGCCCACTAAAACAAAGCCACGCCTCCTAATAGTGCCACTCCCTATGGGATTATGGGGGGGGGCAATTACAAGCAAACTACCACAGCATCCTAGACTTCTATAATCCAAAACAAATCTACAAAATGCTGTTTTTTTCTTTTCTATCTTATACTATGTTTACTGTGAATTGAGCTTTGGGAGTCGTTTTAGAGAAGTCTAAAATCTTACAAATTCCTGAGCATTTCTAATGTGGCAGATATACTTTTCTTTTTTCAGCTGATGAAACTACAACTGGCCAAACTGATTTCTCTTAGAAACTTGACATGCTTCTGTCTCCATGAAATGATACCTTCCTCTTCCCTGGCAACTGCAATGGAAATTCAGGTGCAGAAACCCCACACAGAAACTCAAGTACCTGAGAGAAACATCCAAATTAGAGAATCATGCAAACTAACAATAATATTGAAGAAACAGATCTCACTGTGTAAATAACACAGTTGAGATGTTTAGGGAGTCTGACAAAGTAAAAGCGTCCCTTTTTATATTTTTTGCTCACTTTCAATAAACTTTATCAAACAACAATTACATCAGGAGTCTTCTGTAAATGAAAGGAAATATTAGCTACAACAAGGGATGCATCCGGTCCCTGTACATTACATAACCTTCAACTGTGCTGTGCTTTGTGAATTGACTCAAAAATGAACCTAATTCTAGATCATAGATTTTGTGGCTTGAGGCTGCTCTCTGAGGTTTTGTGTTATTAGAAGCCCAGGGCATGAATTGTTTTCCAGATCAGAGCTGAATCTGCTTTTGTTCTATTCTCCTACCCTTTCAAAACTATTTGTTTCCTGCACTTCCCCACCCGCATCTGTGTGTGTGTCTGTTTGTGTGTGTGTGCCTGCGGGTGTGTGTCTGTGTGTGTGTGTCTGTGTGTGTGTGTCTGTGTGTGTGTGTCTGTGTGTGTGTGTCTGTGTGTGTGTCTGTGTGTGTGTGTTTGTGTGTGTGTGTCTGTGTGTGTGTCTGTGTGTGTGTGTGTGCCTGCGGGTGTGTGTCTGTGTGTGTGTTTCTGTGTGTGTGTCTGTGTGTCTGTGTGTGTGTGTGTGTCTGTGTGTGTGTCTGTGTGTGTGTGTGTGTGCCTGCGGGTGTGTGTCTGTGTGTGTGTTTCTGTGTGTGTGTCTGTGTGTGTGTGTGTGTCTGTGTGTGTGTATCTGTGTGTGTGTGTCTGTCTGTGTGTGTGTCTGTGTGTGTGTCTGTGTGTGTGTCTGTGTGTGTGTGTCTGTGTGTATGTCTGTGTGTGTGTGTCTTCTCACCTTTCCTCTCTCCTTCCTTTGTACTTTCCCTTATCTGGTGCTGGTTCAGTGGTAAAGATTAAGGTGTTTCCCTTCTGATAAATATCCCCAGGCTGCCAAGATGGATCAGTGGGTAGAGGAACTTGCAGATTCGTGGATTAAGATTCACTGGACTATGCTCAATATAGATTAATATAATTTTATTTGGTCAGACTGCACTTACACAAGAAACAGATGCGAGTTCCCTCCCCAAGGATCCACACAGGCTGCTCTCTGTGACCAGACCAGAACCAAGAGAGCGAGGTTGGGTCCCAACCCCTGACCTAATCCTACTCTCCTGCACCTGTGACCACGCCCAAACGGGCATGGTCAGTGGTACAGGGGCGGGGGTGGGGGTGTATCTCACCAAACTTCTCACCAAATCTGTAGATCTGAGTTAGATCCCAAGAACCACACGATGGAAGGAGAGAACCCACTTCTGCAA